CGGGCGTGCGGCCGCGGGCTGGGCGTGTGCGTGGGCCGGCACCCCGTCCTCTTCCTCACCGTGCCCGCCGTGCTGACCATCGCCTGCGGCCTCAGCGCGCTGCGCCGCTTCCAGCCCGAGGGCGACCTGGAGCGCCTGGTGGCCCCCAGCCACAGCCTAGCCAAGATCGAGCGCAGCCTGGCCGGCAGCCTCTTCCCGCTGGACCAGTCCAAAAGCCAGCTCTATTCGGACTTGCACACCCCTGGGAGGTACGGCAGGGTGATCCTCCTCTCGCCACCCGGGGACAATGTTTTGCTCCAGGCCGAGGGGATCCTGCAGACCCACCGAGCCGTGCTGGAAATGAAGGTGAACCACAGGGGCTATAATTATACTTTTTCCCATCTGTGTGTGTTGAGAAATCAGGATAAGAAATGCGTGCTGGATGATATTATTTCAGTGCTAGAGGATCTCAGGCAGGCTGCCGTCTCCAGTAAGACAACAGCCAGGGTGCAAGTGAGGTATCCCAACACTAAATTAAAGGTATGCTCCTCCTGCATGCTCCTGCCGATTAAAGAGGCAGCACTTCATTTCTTGCCCTAAACAAGCAAAGAAAATGCAGAGGTCTCATCCTTAAGACTTGGAAGCGGATGCTTCTTTCATTTCTGGGGAGGGGGGGGAGAAAGATGGGCAACTGAGTGAAGCAAACAGGCGATGAATGGGACGTCTAGATATTAAGAAATTCAAAGCCAAATCGAACAAATGCCAAAAAATGAAAAAAGAAAAAAAGAAAAAAGAAAACAAAAAGTTTCTGAGACCCTGCAATTACATCTTTGTTCAGGGTTAATAAATCAGTGAATGGAAGGGGGCGGGGGAATTCCGAACAGTTGGGGGATTTCTTTTCATTCTGGGGCTCACTGTATTTCTTATTACTGATTACACATCCACCCAGTGCCATGTCCACCGTGTACCTCTCCAGCCTGGCTTGACTGTGACATGCGGGGAGTTCGTGTTTGCTGCCCGTGAGTGTGCGCGTGTGAGATCACTGGGTCATGAATGCATTAGTCATTCCAGGAATTGTGTGTGTGTACAGCAAAAGCCGTAGACATCCGTGTGTGAAAAAGGAGCGTGCACCTGACTGATGCATTGGCTTGCTGACTCCTTTCCTATAAAAAATCCAACCCAAGCAAGATGGTTGTAACAGGCCAATAACAGAAAAAAAGAAAAAAAATTCCACAATCAGCAAAAACTGCAAAGAATGATTTGTATGAGCACCCAGGGAAGCAGTGTGTTGTTTGGTCCCTCCATTCAAATCTTGTCCCTCAGATGAATTTTCTAAATTCATTCAGGATGGAGCTGCTGCAGGCAATGAGGCATGCAGTCTCCAGGTGACTGAAGTTTCAGGGACAAATGTGACTTCCAAAAGAGTCACTGCACCATTTGTGTGCTTGACCCTGTGCATGCTCAGAAGCTGCACAACCACGAGCTCCAAGACAGGTGTCTCCCAAGGAGGAGGAGGAGGAGGGCTCTTCCCCCTGCTGTGGGTGAGGACATGGTGTTTTCCAGGGTGGAACTGGACTAGGAGAGCCCCCCTGGCCCAGTAAATAAAAATCCAGCTTGGAAATACACTCATTGCCTATTTATTTATTTAAAAGAGTCACCATCCATATTAAATAACTTTCTCAAGATTTCTGAGAGAAAACAAAACCCTATTTTTCCCCTGCATTAAAGGAGGATTTAATGGACTTAGGGGACCTCATAAACTGCCTCTTTTTTCATCCTTGTTTGAATGGATCCAGAGGCTAATGAAGGTCTCAGCTTCACAAAGCTGAGCAGCTCTGGAGATGTAGTGAAACCGGACAGACGACTCACCAGCTCTCAAGCAAAGCGGCGGGTGGGGGCTTGCCTGCTTCACACTGACTGATGGGCGCATGATGACTCTGTGTGCTTGGGCAGCATGCTTCTTGCCTCCTGAATCCTTTGCCATGACCATTACTGCTTGCTCAAGAAAGGATGTGGTGGAGAGGTAATCTTTCTAGCCTGCAGTCTTTTCACTGGGTTCCTTCCTGTGCCAATTATCTGGAGTAAAGAAAGATTGGAAACCATGCCATGTTTAAACCTCAGTGTGCTTTCCCCATTGAGTCAAATGTGCAGTTCATTAATATGTGCAATGAGTTGGGTCTCAACCGCCTTAATTCAGCAGCACTCTGCAGGTGAAAGAGCTGTGTGCAGTCAGCACTGTAGTCATGCTGATAATCTGGGAAAACTGTTTTAACATTTACAGTGCAAACCCCTGAGGTATTCGTTTTACTCATTTTTTTACTCGTTGGTTGTGTTCATTAGATTATCTGTGTGCTCTTCAAGGTATATGAGACAGAAAAGTAAGGTTCTGACTTCCATATGGTTTATAAATAGATGCCAGCGCCCTCACCCGGAGTTACCTGGAGGTGGGAACTCTGTGCTCTGGGGTACATCACTGAACCGACAGCCTGCTGGGCCTAGTAACAGGTGCTCCGTCCAAACTTCTTGACAGGTTGGTTGGCTGAGTCACACCTTGGTAGAAGTCAGTGGATAACCACAGAAGAGGATTGGTCTATTAAGTGAACACAAGTATTGCATATGGGCTGAACGTCCCTTTTTCTTCTACCTATTTACCCCAGGGTTTCCTCAAGTGTGTTGATTTGACTGCACAGCGGTGGTGTTAAGGTCTGTTGAGTGAATGAGCCCTTGAGACCCTTGGAGAACAATGGGTCTCCCAGGTCCAGACGCAATCTCACACATGCTCATGCAGTATAAAATGTGATTAAGAACCGTGGATGCTTAAAATTCTCCCAAAGGGATTCCAGGGGCTCCCAGGATCAGAGCCTCCTGGCAGGGAGCAAGTGAGATGGCCTTTTATTGTGACCATGTATCATCTGGAAACATTTTAATTCATGTGTGGCTTGCTACTCAGGGTCTCCTTGATGCTGATGTATATTGGTGCCCGATAACTGCTAGTATATGGTCTTTATATGTCCAGCTTTAGCCCTCTAATTCATTTTGCTTTCCTCTCCCGTACATTAGCCACCATTTTTCCCAACTCTGTCCCATATGGAAAATTTTAGTGCCATAATTGTCTGATAATCTAGGAAAACCACTTTAAGATTTACCGTGCAAAACCCAGAGGTATTTGTTTTACACATTTATTACTGACTGATGGTCTTCATATGATTTGGTGGAGAACGGTTGTGAGTTTAGGGAAGCTGACAAATCAACATCAGTGGCAGGATGGTGTGGGGAGGAATTAGCAGTCAATTCATGAGAGAAGCAGGAGGTCAGTGCTTGGAAAGCATGTGAAGATGTGAGAGTAGTCACAAACCGGAGTTATGATAGTCAGAGGTCATCTTCCAAGTATCATGAAGACATCCAGGTAGTTCTGAGTAGAGACACTTTAGAACTTCTGATAAACATGATATCTTGGCAAGGTGATTCAGACAAGCAGGATGCAGAAAGTTGTCTTCTATAGGATCTAAACAGAGGCTTAGATAAATCTGGTATCAAAAAGCAGCAGGAAGCTCATACTACACAAGAATGAATTCTGTACACGTTTTCAAAAGCTGTGTAGAAAAGATACCAAAATCTGAAGTTCCTACACCTGTATACAAGATGAATCCTACAACTTGTTCTTCATTATAATCTCTGCATAATATCCTTGATTAAACCTAAGGGTTATGTTTTATATTGCTTTTATAGTAATCATTTCCCCCACCCCCACCTTGTCTAGGTCCAGGGTGTTCACAATAGACACTCACTGATGGGTTTTCTTGATGGATTTGTGCATTTTTCTGAAACATCACAAAATTATTGTCACCTCTTGAACTTCTGTGGAATACTTTTATTTAAAGGTATTCTCTGTATTCCAGATTTCTGTGAAATGCTTTTGACCATGATAATTGGGGCACTCTTTTTTTAATTTATTAAGTAAAAATATATATATGCATATATTTTTCACATAAACAACCTCAATGTGGCCAGACTGAATTTTTAGGTAAAATATTTAACATAGTGTTGAAATTAGGGTCATCATTAAAGCAAAATAGCCACTCAAGCTCCTTAAGCAAAGACTGTTCTAGACTTCAGTGAAGATTTCCATTGTCATTCAGGAAGATCCATTCAGGAAGATCCAGTGGTTACAGGTGACATTACCCTGCTTCTTAGGAAGGCCATGAACCTCACTTTTCTTTTCTTTTCTTTTTTTTTTTTTGTGATACTGGGGATTGAACTCCACACCTTGTGCATGCTAGCCAAGCACTCTACCACTGAGGCTACATCCCCAGCCCCTCACTTTTCAACTGGAAGTTTCCATGAAAGTAATAATTCTCAATTCTTTATAGTCAAAGATATAGGTAAAGATGCAACAGATAAATGTGGTCTTTGAAAATAGATTTCATTCCAAGTTTAGATCACAGCTTTCTGGCAAACAGTCGGGAAGGAAGCAGAGTGATGGCCCTGTCACACGCCCTTCTATTAAATCCCATTAATAACTATACCTCCAAGAAGATGTTCAGGGGAAGTCAGCATGGGTGTCTTTACACCACAGTTGAAGACAAGTGTGCAGAGAGACTTTTCAACAGGAAAGAGTATTCCTTTGGGTGCATTTTGGGTGCACCCTCCATGTTGGAAGATATTGTAGTTAATTCTCTAGTTCTAATCTCAGTAGAAGCACAAATTCAGTCAACATGGCATTATTTTTAGAGATTCACACAAAAAGGTATTCTTTATTTTTTTCCTAATTCATTCTAAAACCTCTTAAAATGTACATGTCAGGATCTTCCCTTATATTTTGATTTATGTTTATCTTTCTGATTCCACTTCTTGATATGGGAAAGCGCGAACTATTGAACATTCAGTTTGTAGCATAAGTATGTTCAGGTATTTTGTACACAGTATGGCGTCTAGTTTTTATGAGTTTGTGAGTCAAGGGGAATATTTTTGTTCCCATTTTATGGATGAAGACCAAAGACCTTAAGTGATTTCCATGAAATCCCAGCAGTACTGTGCCAGAGCTGAGACTCAAATCTAGGACTATCTGATACCACGATGCCATAGTAGAAGTGTGATTACCTCCTGCACTACGCTCTGTAACAACAACCTTTTGTACTGATAAAGAATGAGGGCCATACTTCTGAAGCCATCTATAACCCATGACAAAAGAGGTGATTGCTACTAATCTACACAAAGTGACTGGCTGGTAGAAAGGGCACAGGGCGGAGCATCCATCTAGTCAAAATCTACCATCTGCCGAATGTAGAACCTGCAGAAGGAGGCTAGCAGACTCACTGGCAAGCCATTTCTTCTTTAACAGCACTTACCATTGATTCTGAACAAGGTAGGGTAAAGCTCCGGGTTCAGCTGTCTTCTGGCCCAAAGGGCTTATGTACCATACCCCTTGGACAATTTCTGGCTGAAACTGGTATTAAGAAGAAGGAATTCATGAGACTGTGTAAGATAGAACAATGCACAATGCACTTGCAATGCTCAGGAGACCTGGGTTCTCACCCAGA